AAAGAAGGAAAAATCAACCATGGAAGAATATGTAAAAAGCTGGAGCTGTATGTGTAGAGATAGATAGATGAATAAACATTTTCTGAAGTTCTTTTCTGATATGTCTGTATCCTTCGATTTTCTACCCCTTTGCATCAAACCTTCGAGGGTTAATTTCCTTCTAAGCTACTATCTTGAGGCTACGTCTTCGGTGCAAAACTGTTTAATGATTTTCATTCGTAATCAAATCAGTATTGCTACAATAGAAGTATAAATGAAAGATGGAATAATGCAATACCGCATTGATATGATGAATGTATAACCTCTCCGAAAGGGATTCGAACCTTCACCGCCATTGCCGGGAACTCGCAAGACGGTCACTCTAACCACTGATACACGACCCAAAAGTTTAGATGTAGCTAGAGTAATAATTTACTTTCCCTCATGACGATCATAATTTCACAGGAGAATATTTTTTCTTGTAACACTACGGGCCATTTATGATTATTTGCAGTCATATTTGGCCCCTTCTTTCATAGCATATTCTTTATTTAGCGGAGTATATGGTATGCTTTGTGGCTTCATTGATGGCTTATGCTTTTCTTTCTTCCAAGGAACGTTCTATGGTTTGATCAGTAGAATAATTTTATATTTCTTTGGGGTATTTTCTGTGGTTCATCAGCAGTGCCTTTTTTAGTTTCTCTGGTGGCCTGTTTAGTCATTTCATTATCGGGGTGCCCTGTGGTTCCGAGTCCTTATTTTGGGCTACTAGTTTTCTTGTATACTTGGGCTTCTATTTATACTTCCTGACTTTTTCTTTTGAGGACATGACATTCCTTGCAGTTGTAACATTTTGTTTGTGATTGTACTGTCTGCTTTTACTGATTCCTATAAAGTGGTTTTCATGTTAGTTCAATACACCTTTTTGTTACCTGCTTAAATTTCCAGATTTTTTGCAGGCAATTTTCCTGACCCAAATGCACTCACTTTGCAAGGTTATGGTTGACACCTTCCATCACAGAGCACAAATTTATGAAATGTTATTTAAAACTGGTTGTAAATATATTGTGTTCAATACTTTGCTCATCCATACCCCTACATTATCCTTCTCAGTTTGCGGTTGCTCTTTACTTACACATTTCCTACAAGAATGAGATAAATAACTGTCCAAAATATGAATGGATGGGGTATTCAACCGGACATTTGCTTGTATCTTTACGTGATTCTGTCAGAAAATGAGGAATTATATCTTCTCTTTTATGCTGGTTTTTGAACATCTTAGATAAAATATCGTTATTCCACCATTGCCCCCTCCCCACACACTAATTTGTGGAGCCATGTCTTCAACCGAAGTTTTGAACTCCTAGTCACTATTACCTACTAGTGTACACACTAGTACACACTAGTGTACTCGTGTAATTGCTTGAGGGGTGGGGTAGCTTTACATTAAGTTTATAGTCTCTAACCACTTTAAGATGATTTACAACTGGCTTTTCCAAATGCTCATGGTACTCTTGTCTTTCATATTTAGATCTGCACTGATGTATTTAATATATAGCAGGTTGTAGGAATTTCTAATAGGGAACAAATGTGTGCTGTCTAAGCTAACCTAGCCCAATGGCGAATTAATCTATAGGCCACAGATTTGGATTCACTATCATAAGTTTTATGTCATGGCCTTATATCCTGTATTTTGTACTAACTTCAGTCATGTACTTCTTATCTCTATCATCTTTATCATCATCTTGGTACTTAGACTTTAATGGTGGTTAATGGTGAATGGTACCAAAGCAAAATAAATGTGCTAGACATCAAAGGTCATGCAGTACTATAGAGAGGTGTAGTAGTGAAAAGGGTAAAGAAGGGGGAAGAGTTTATGATTAAATGTGCTACACGTCAAACGTTGTATTGCTATTTAAGAGGGGTGGTGGTACAGAGGGTAAAGAGGGGTGGTGGTAGAGAGGGTGAGTAAATGGGTGCAAATAGATCAAATAGGGCATGTATACCATTTGTCCTTTCAACACGGCCCTCACAAAAAAGGGCTTGAAGAGAAGGAAAAGGAAAGGGAAGAAGAAAAGACCTGGATAGGGGAGCTCCCTAACATTGGGCCTCAGTCTCCGTCTCTTAATCATCTCCATGACAACAAGGCCATGGGACTGGGGGTTCCCTTGACTTGAAATGTAAAAATGTATACCTCTAAGATTAATTTAAGCACTGTAAATGGTAGGAGACATACACATGAAAATTAACAAATCTTTATTTTGGAATGCAAATTATAATCAAAAAGCTTAAAATGGCCTGTATGGATATCGTACCTTTAAATGAATAGAAATATCTTACATATTAAGCGTACCAATGGTTTGTTAATAATTAGTGCATATGTGAATATCATGGTGTAAATAATACAATTCCAGACAAGAGAAAAAGACGGAAAAAAAAAGTTTCCGATAACTGACATTTTTGGACATGCTAAAAAATAAATGCCACACTGATAATGAGCTTCTATCACTACTAAGGCTCAAGAGTAAATATAAATATCCTGGAATACTCTCTTTTGAGGTACTGAAAATTCAATATGAAGTTCCTGATGGTAACTGGTAACCATTTTAATGAAATACTGATTAAAAACCTTAAGATCGAACACAAAGAGAAATCACCCACAAATAGACTGATATAGACACGTGAAAATAACTTTCTTAATGATAATAGAAACAAGTTACATAGTTATCTATATGAATAATAGAAACATGTACACAAGATAAACACATATAAAAATGAAAGAAGAGAACAGACTACTCTAAATTTTCACATTCTCTATGACAATCTCAATTATTTTGAGGGGAATATGTGTAATATGACAAATCTAGAGAATACATACACTAATCAAATGTAGAAGTGTTCAATCTACATTTACTTGTATGCAACTATCTCAAAAAAAAAAATAATAATAATAAAAAAATATATATAAAATAAAATAAAAATAAATAATAATAATAAAAAAATATAATAAATAAATAAATAATACATAAATAAAAAGTACAACCATCCTGTTAAACACAATACCTGATTGCAAAAAGAAAATTGAACAACATTTAAAAAAAAATAAAAATAATGATACAAAACCCTGAAGTTAACCTATGAATCAATATCTAAGAAAAAGAATAATTGAAAATAAATAAATAAATAAAAATCAAATGAAATATACTACCAATTGATGATTCTTGTTTTCTATGTTTGTGCACTGTTAATTCTTTTATCATTATTGCCACCTTCCCTAAACACCATTCAACAGGAAATCTGTGAAACACATTGCAATTTTTAAATCATCAAATGCAACTGTACTGAACTGACATACAAACTGTCTTGCATGCAACAATATTTTTTTCCCATTAGAATCAACTACAGCAAAAATCAAAATTTCAAACATTCACACAAAGTACACAGTACTTATATTAACTTATATTGCGCCACATTCATATCTGGAAATGGGACAATGTGTAGTTTTAGTAAGGAACATTTTCAGCAACACTGATGAAACACTACTTCTTGGATTCACCAAGTACTGTAGCTAATATAAGCCATTACTTCACTAAATCCTACAATACTGAAGGTAAACTGCATGATAAGAAAGAGTTCCCAACACAGACAACTTGGCATAGTGTTTACTTTTGGATGCAGCTTTTAAATGGAGCATGTCGTCAACACCGACAAAGCCAGTTGATGCCAAAAAAAAGGTACTGTTCAATACCCACAACTGTGCTCTTCACTTGGACACTTGCATATACTAAGAGCTACTCAAGATTTGATCTCTCCTCTAAGAGGGAGGAGGCTAACATTATTGCCACTTGTCTGCCTGTCAAAATTTTGAATTTTTTTTTCTTAAACACGACACAAACATACATATCAGACAATTATGACAAAGCAAGTAACACCAATCAGTGACAAAATCTATCATAAATTAATAAGTACATTTCATAAATATATGTAGTAGTACAAGAAACCTCTGAAATCTTAATGTAAGACTTCTTCGAATTCTACAAAATCCTGCAATCACTTGTTTTTTCTTTCCTAAAAGTATCGCTGTCTATGCTACTTATGGAAGAGACACCATCGCATTAACTAGACTTCATTTTAGGAAGTTCTGTACAAAAAGAATAATCAATGAAGGCTTTAAAACCAAAATGTGCCACAAAAGAAATATACTTCAATCATCAAAATAAAAAATATTCATTTCAAAATATCTAATTCCTGTGTATCTAGATATGGCATCGTTTCTTGCATTTTTGAGCACAAAAAAAGTATATATATATCTACATGCAAGTATACTGTACATGTATACAAATACAAATATAAACACAAAAACATACATGTATGTATATGTGTGTAGGTATATGTATGTATATGTAAGTATATATATATGTATATATATAATGTTACATAAAAATATCGGACCTTGAAATCAAAAGAAAGACCAATTCCTAAAAAGTTAATGATACATTTTTTCAAATAAGTGGTAATAACAGAAAAATAAATCATCCAACTTACTTTACAATATTTCACAATCAAAATGAAGTTACTGCAACTATAACTATTTTCTTATACTTTCATAATCACTAAATTATCATTGAAATGACATTTCTATATGTTATTATCAGGGTCATTCCCACTGTTAAGCCTATGGCCGAGTTTAGTCCACTTATTTTTGGGGTCTGTGAATTCTATTGCACAGAGATAGCTCCACAATCACTAAAGGCTCCGCAGTCACTAAAGCCTACTAATACACTCCATGGGTGCTCTGCACCCATGGAGTGTATTAGTAGGCTTTAGTGACTGTGCATAGTTCCCCCATTCCTTGAATTTGTGAGAAAATATCTTTTTTTGATGCTATGAAAGTTGATATTGTTATTGTTATTAACATAATGATTATCATAATGTTCTGCAATAAAATTAGCAATAAAAATGATAAAGTAAAAAAGAATCTTTCAAAAAAATCAAGGAAAAGGGTAAACAGGTGAGATGGACAGGAATAATAATTTACTTCCTTAGAAAGGACATGGTACACTTTTTTGCCATACAGGGTCATTGGGTTAATATCCTTTTCATAAATACATACAAATCCCATTAATTTCAATTAATTTCCTCTCTTCCTAAATATCCAAGATTATAATGCTAAATGTACATGGCTTGAATAAGCAAGACAAGTGTACATGATGGCAGGAAGCTTCAGTACTCACACCAAGTATTTCATCAGTGCCACACACACTAATAAACAGTGAATAGCCCCAAACGGATAAAGTGTACATTTTCCATGATATAATCATAGTCATTTATGATTAAATGACCCAGCAGTGGTTATGTGCTTTTTTTTATATAAACTGACAACAAATCTGACCACTAAAGTTGTCTGTGCAAACCTTTCCTATATATTAGGTTGACTGTGCTGCTATGTTAGTTGCACCAGATCATACCATCTTCCACTAACTTCCAAATCCCTATTATGTATGCCTTAAGGTTAGCTATATGAGCAAAGACTTTTACACTGTCTAGACTCTTACATCCAATCAAACACTGTAACAAAACACATCATTGGTCTTGACAGAGAGCCTCTTCATGCACTGATGCAAATCCATACTTAAAAACCATCCTCCACCTCAAAATCAACAAAATGCATCCAAACTCTTCCTACTATGTGGATTCTAGTTTACCCGCAATAACATATTTTGGACATTTTCTATAACCCTAACGACTCTCATGATTATTCTAATTTGTTCGCTTTGTCCTGGACATCTCTTAACTGTTTTTCATAAATCTTTTTGGAATCGCAGAAACCCATCCTCGTCTTGCCAAAGCTGTTTGGCCCTGCAGATGTTGGGGTATCTCTGAGGATAAATAAAAAGAAAGAAATGATTATCTTTATCCTTATTACAGGATGAAAACAAAAGGTCTTAAAAGCATGACATTTCTTGTATTTTGTTGTGCCCTAATTGACACTTTTTCTTTGGCTATTTAATTCAGTCATCAAACATTCTCTTTTTTGACAAGCTACCTTGCAAAGGTGATGAATTAAAAATCTGTCATTTTAAAGAATAAAACATCTGACAATATCAACTGTATCTGATTAAAGAAGGAAAAATATTCAAAAGACCAATTATCAATTGAGAAAAATAAACAAACAGATTTCCTAATATTCTATCTTTGGACAGGCTATCTTGCAAAAGTGATGAATTACATATCTCAAGTTGCAAAAGAATTGTCCCTAGCAATAAAAGGTATGGACATTTACTTCTATACATGACTTTTTTCTATTGTTTCCTAAATCAAAATCTACATACTTCTATCAGTTTCACAGTTGGGAAGATTGCCTAAACAGAGAAGTACAACATATTACTGATACACCATCATTTTCATTGGCACTAGAATAACCTCATGTTGTATTTTTCCTTTTATCAAACAAAAATTTAGTGTAAATAATAGAATCTATGTAGGTATCTAATAAACTATCAGCAAATAAAATTCCATCATAACAAAATACAGAGTATGGAATCAGAAAAGCTATCAAAATATGATGGGGGGGGTGGGGGGGGGGGGGGAGTTGGCAAGCTAGAGAAAAAATATGAAATACCACAACCAGATAATCCTACAGAACAAGAGAAAAGCATTCCAATATAATTATGAGCTCTCCTCGATGAGTCCTATTAATGTAGCCTATATTGTGCTTATATATTGTATCTACCCTACAGCATCTTCCAGTATTCATGTTCTTTTGCAAACATGTCCCCTACAAAACTTAGATAACCTTTGACTCTGATGTTATATCCACAAACCATTCATCGCAATGTAAACTGTAAGGTAAGGAATTCAGGCATCCCCAGACACTTCATCCACTCATCCATTACCTTCCTATATTCTTCATTCTCATTTTTGCCTCTGGAGGCATCTCTTCCTCGACATCATCATCGTCTTCTGAGCCGAAAACAGATGCTGCTGCTCCAACCTTTGGCTTCAATGCAGATGCTCCAGTCTGGGTGGCATTTTTCTGCTGAGAAAACAATAGACCTTGAATAAAAAAAGAATAGTGTCTCTTCATGAAAGCATTTTACATTAACATCTAAGAACCTTATGAAGGTAAAAAACAAGTGGAAGGGAATGAGGATGAAGGTTGAAATCTTCGGTAAATGTCATATGAAGCATAAGAAAATGTCATTGAGACATTGAATGAATAGCAGTCATAAGTAATTGCCATTATTTCTATAATTACTACCATCTATTCGTCTCTATTCAAAATTAAACAATTCATTACCCAAAATACCACATTCAGTAAAGTGATAAGCAATTAACTTAGTGAAAAAAGGGAGACAAACAAAACAGGAAACATAATGCAAAAGGATATACCCTTGCATCTCACATTACATCCACATACCCTAAACCAGTAGACTATCAATTTTACCATTATGGGTCGTAAAAGCACACACTCACAGCCACATCCATACCCACACACAAAAGAGATGATGATTGTTAGGAAAAACACTCTCTGCTCCCTACCTGCGACTGGCCAAGCTTGATTGAAATGCCACCAAGGGGTTTCTTTGCGGATGGAGGCATTCCCACAGTGCCTTTGTCTAGGGGTTTGCCGAGGCCAAAACTAATCTTTTTCTTTGGCTCCTCCCCCCCATCCCCCTCAGCCGCCGGCCTCTTGGTGGCTGATGACCGCTCCACCAATGATGTCTCTGGAGATAAACACTGGCGATGGTGAGATAAAGAAAGCCCGTGAGAACAGCCCAAAACCAGGCACTGGTTATATATATATAACATCGTGTTGAAACATTAGAAACAAACGTTGCAGTGGTGTTAAATCTTCAAATGAAAAATGCTGATTTGTGTGTGTTAAGGGCAGTCAGATCGAATAATCGAATTTGAAGTTACACATATTGTCTCCGAGAAACCAATTCTGTTAACTTTTTTTTACAGCTTTTTTTGTGAATTGACAACTTTTAAAAAGGGACTTTTGGTCTCTAAAACTTGACTGATCATTTTATATAAAAAGGACAAAGAATATAAATGACAGTGGCATCTGTAATCACATCAATATTAATATGAATATGAATATGATAAACAGTAAGTTAATAATGGTAATAATAATCATGATGATGACCATGATCATCATGATACTAAAAATAATGATAAAGAGGAAGAAGGTGATGATGGTGTTGGTTATTGGTGATGATGAAGATGATGATAGCAACAACAATAACAAATGTAATACTGCTAATAGTAATAATTATACAAAAAAGTGAGATCTGCAACAATAATAACAGTAATAATCACACCACAAATACAAACATAGAGTAACAGAATTACAACCACGTAAATAATGATGATGATGATAATAGCAATAATAATAATTATAAAGAAGTAAAAGTAATGATAGTAATAATAATCCTGAAAATAATATTTGTGGTAATTGTCATAAGAATAAAAATAATAATGCAAAAACAATAACGATAATAATGATAATAACAATATCAATAGTAATAGTAATAATAAAAATAATAATAATACTAACAAAATTAACAACAACAGTAATAATAACAATAATAATAATAATAATAATAATAATAATAATACCACCAATAATAGTAATAATTTCATTAACAATAATAATAGTAATAATAATAACAATAACAATAATAATAATAATAATAATAATAATAATAATAATAATAATAATAATAATAATAATAATAATAACAATAATAATAACAATAATAATAATAAAAACAACAATAACAACAATAATAATAATAATAACAATAATAATAATAATCATAATCATCATCATCATAAACTTCGTAATAAAAAAAATAATCAATAACAAAAGAAGCAAAACAATGGTAATTATGATAATAATAACAGTAATCAATAATAAGAATAAGAATAATAAAAACAGTAGTAACAACAGTACTTATAATAACATCAATAATGAGAATATGATAATGATCAACTGAATAATAATTAAAAACAATCATGATAATAATGATAACTGAAAAAACTATTACAAGATACAAAAAATAATTATATGAATTATCATCAACAATAACAGTTAAAATAATAACATTAATAATAATAATAACAATGCTTACATCATCATTATCAATAAGAAAAAAATAAAACAACAACCATCATCATCATCATCAAAGTAACAGTAACAAGAACTATGATGCCGTAAGAAGAAACATCTAAAGCAATTGTAACACCAATAATAATGTCATTCATGTAAGTGCACCATAGGACCACATGAGAATTCAGGAAAAACTAAGGTAAAGGCTATAGAGAACTTATAAAAAAGAACACTATTACGTAGAAGGAACTGCCTACCAACAGTACAGGTTCGGCCACAATCACTGATCAAAGGCAACCAACCTATGCTTGCACGGTAGTCTAGTGATGCTGTGGCCAGTGAGCTTTATGATTCCACAAAGGTAAAGTATAATAAGAGTAATAAGAGATTAAATAAGAATAAGAATAAGAACAAATGAGAATAGTAAGGAAAAAAAATATAAAATCCTTATCCTGGCATGAGAAGGCATGCCCACCCTCTAGGCGATTTACTGTCATGGAGATATGCCAATTATGCCAAGTTCTATCTTGCTGAACATGTTAGGGAAAGCTGTTCCCTTTGCTGGAGCATAAAGTACAGAAACCACAGTGTCACATCAAGCAGTCTTCTTCTGAATGATTACCACATTCATAATATATGGCTAAACTTCATTAACAAATATAAAAAAATTACATACATAACTTCAAAAGAGAAACCAAAAATATCATTTGCATCATAAAGTCCTTACTATTATAATTCTTATATCAGTAATAGCAATAAACAGTGCAACCATGAGTATATCTACTTATTCTTGATTACCTTTTTTTCTGATATGAAATATTAAAATCTTGGCCTCTTGTGCCCAGATAATATTCACCTGGCTGATATCAAAATACAAAGCCTTCTCCTGAAATTATTCATAGCCATATAAGCTTCCAGAATATCTTATGTGAGAGACCATAAACACATAAGAATATTCACTCTCCAAAATGGCTGCTGCTTATGTCTTGAAATAGTCAATACCCTGTCACTCTATTTTCCTTTCTACTCTGATTATTGTATGTCCCTCATGCACACAAGACAGTACAGTGTTAAGTTTAAGAAAAAAATACATTAAGTAAATATAGAATGAACTTTATTTATTGCAATACCATCTAAAGATCTGTGCAATTTCATCACTAACACATAGATCTATCTTAACAAGCACAAGAAAATACTCATAATAACTCTATTTTTGAAATTTAAGGCACAAAATATGAACTGAACTTGAGAGAGATAAAAAACATGAATTAACAAATAACAAGAAATATCTACAGAGCTTATTAAACAGGAAAATATTAACAAGTACATCACATTTCGTCCACAAAAGGATTCACTCGCTGACGAGACACATCAGCAGTCAAACATGCACGCATTCCCTCCCGGGTGCATTGGTAGTCCAGGCACACGAGGGACCTCCAGATTGCAAGACAAGCGTGGTCATCCTCCCAAACAAAGGCCGAGGGACAACTGGCCGAGACCCGAGCAACAACTCCGGGATTATTACAATTTATTACTCGGCGTGCGAGGAGCAGCAGGTCGGCCTTCTTCTGCCATGGATTTTCATCCTCCAGATGACCTGATTTCCTAAAAAGAAATGGAACAACAGTGATTTCAAGAGGAAGAACTCGCGTCACACTACCTTCTCGCCTACTCATTTTTGCCTAAAAAGCAGAGGCGAAGCTCATAAATTAGGGACGACGCCGACACTCTCCTCTGCGCAGGGCGACCACTAGCAGTATTGACTATTGTCCGATTGCGTTGAGATCGTTCACCTGATGATCATGGGATTCGACTAGCTATTTGTATGGCATGATATTTGGCATCATAAAACTGAAAGATTTTCGGAATATTTCTAGGAGGAATAAGTAAATGCAAAAGGCTATGGTAAATACAAGAATTATTTGTAATGAAACTGAAGTCAAGGTCAAAACGTCGTCTCAAACTTTGCGTGTGTAAAATATCTACAACATTTTTGAAAGGGATTTTTTAAATGTATTATTCGAGTTGCTTGGCACCTGTGTTACAAATCATACACTGCACATTACTGATAGCTATTCACAATTTTAAGCAACACATTTTAATATATGTCCGAATGATTCGAGGAGCGATAAAATAAAAATGCCTTTTTAACCACAACACCCAAAATTAAACGTCACCCACCAAGTCCCCCAAAACCTCGTAACAAATTCTAAGTTGCATAAATGGGTTAATCCCCCTCTCAAAATCCCCCAGAAGCAACAACCCACCCTCAAATACAGAGTCCGATCCAAAGCCAAGACCGGCGCAGGGGATCGGACGCGGGACAGCCTAGTAAACAAATGGGTCGAAGGCGAAGAACACACGACTAATTACCGATGGACGCCGGAATTTGACCCTTTCTTTGACACATCTCAACACTGCGCAGCCATCTGGTAGGCCGAGTTGACCGCCTTAACGATGGCTGAGACTCTGGTGCAGTCCAACCTGGAGAAAATCAGCAGGTGAGGGAATGTTTCTCGGGCATTGGACAGCTGATACTGACACTTGGACTACCGGTAGCAGGAGTGAGGGCGAACTCCTTATCTTGATCACGCCCATGCTCACCTGGTGGGCGCAGGGGCGTGGCGGCATCCTAGCTGAGGTCTGAAACGTGGCCTGAGGAACTTTAGGGCTTGTGGTCATTGTTCTTTGAACCAGAGGTCTACTGTATGAATAAAAACTTACTGTTTAATTTTCTCATTGTGTCTGATTTTTATTCATATTTTATTAGTGTATTTCAATCAGTCATAAAATGAGGTTTAAGGGAATACATGTAGATTTTATTAAGAGTATTCTACATTTCTGTTTTAGCAACATGCCCATTAAAATCATTGTCTTGGTTTACTTTATTCTTCTTTGTCATAGTCTCAGTTTTTTAAGCATTTGACTAATAGTCTTATTATGAATTATCATTCATTGTACTGTTTGTGTTTTGACTGTGGTACATCATTCAACTGGATCCTTAAATTATGGATATATGAGGCAATTTATTTTAAAATAGATAGTAATTTATGCATTCAAGGTGTAGTATCAAACTCCCTTATAGATAGATCACCTTAAAACAGCCATGTTATGTTTAAATCCTTTAAGTATTGCCTAATAGTATTAAATATTGTAACTATATAGTGCTTTTAAAGTACTTGAGTTTATGATATAGGGAGAAGGAGGAATTGATTAAGAAGATAAACAGGAGTAGGATTATAGAGTGTGCAGAAGATGGTGATGAGGAGAACAGGAAGAAAGATTTATTTTCATATGTAGGGAAAGGAGGAAGAAAGGTTAAGAAGGAGTGGAAGAAGACCGGAGAAAACAAAGTGAAGGCAAGAAGACAATGAGTAAGAGTGAGAAAGTGCATGCAGTAAAT